TGACTTGACCCTGAGGACGAACGTGATTCCAGACAGGTCCGAGGGGTTGCTTTTGAACAGCATCCCCTTGTAACTTGAGCTTACTGCATTTGGGATAACACGGGCGCAGACCAGAAATTCCATCACTTCCCAGCCTGTCACCTGGCCCTGCCCTGCCTCATGGAGGTGCAGGAGAGCCGTGAGAACAGACACTTGAGTCTCTATGCAGGAACTCTGGAGATCATTCCATGATCTCATGGAGCAGTTTTCTCCGGGCTGGAAAATGAAAAGCCGGTGACCCTGTGCTAGGAAAGATAATGAATCAAATGGTGGACCTGGGCAATAAGCTAGTTTTTTGTTTCCCGGCTCGCATAGAGGCTGCAGTGAAGCTAGTACAAGCCATAATTCATACAGGAAGATGGAATTTGGTCCATGAAATGGGGCAGCTGGGGTCCTGTCCCTCCTCTGCCACTTACTCACTCTGTGACCTTGGCCCAGACACTGACCCCCACTGAGCTCAGTGGCCAGCAGCCTCAGGACTGTTGTGGAATGTTCCACGCTGTTGTGGAAACTTACAAGCGAGCCCACGGAATAAGCAAACACACCATCTGTACACACAGGGGTGTCGTGAATGCTCTCCCTTCCCCCACACCTGGTCCCCCTCCCCCACTGGCCTTAGAGCCTGTGAAATAAGACGAAGAACTTTCAGAGGGGAAATCATTTTTCAAGGGCAACCCCAGACACCTGAGTTTTACAACGGTCATTGATCATTTTCAGGCAGAGACCTTGTCAGTTTTGCATTTGGTTTGAATAGACCCACAGGATTGAGTTCTTGCCCTGATTTTTACATACATAATAATGACACCTGCAAAAGACATCGAAACCCTTCCTGATGTTCCTGGTCAGGAAGTGACTCAGCCGGGCTGACCGCCCAGCCGCCAGGGCCTTGGGTACCTTGTGTGGTCATGGGGTGCCATAGGAGCAAAACAGGCATAGCTTCAGGAGCCTTCTCCACTCGCCAGTGCAGTTTCCTGGGGCCCCAGCCACCGTCTGTCCTGCCCTGGAAGGACCCCCTCTCCAAGAGTGAGTATGAAAACACCTATGGACGTGTCTCCTGCATCAGGTGGTTCCAGGGCCCATGGTCCTAGTCAAGATCTGATGAGAAAAGGGATGTTGATGTTGCCTTTAAATCAGCACGCGGATATCTCTTTTCCCCACATACGCAGTTTAGTGCCAAATAGGCACGGATACCGGGTTCCAAGGACACAGTAATCCCATTTTCCCAGGAAGCAGGTTTTTGTTTTTTTTTTCTTTTCATTTTATAACCAACTTACATTTAAAGGTCTTTTAATGGTAGAGGTAGACGAGTCAAATGCCTACCTAAAATATAAAATTCATTCGGGTAGCTACACATTCCTATTTAAAGGTTTATGTTTCTATTTTAACTTAGAAATACTGCTGTTTTCTTTCTGTAGCATATTATAAAGTCAGACCTGATGAAGCTGCTGTGTGTGCGGGGTCAAAAACGAGTGAATATGAGCAGTTTTGTAAGGTGCAACCGAACACTTGCCGGGTCTGTCTTCATCATCACTCACTCTGCCTTCTGAGCCATCTGCTTGCCAGATACAACCTGTCACTGCTGAGTTCACAGAGGTGCCACCTCTTTTGGAATCTGTATGCGCTACTCTCACTGGATAGTCCCTCACAAGCTGGGGCATTACTTAGCACTGTGTCTGCGTGACTCCGCTCTGCATTGGCGTGACTCCGCCCTGCATTGGCGTGACTCCGCTCTGCATTCGCGGGATTCTGTACTACGTCAGGACACTTAACCTTCTCCTTCTTTCATTCTGTTGGTGTGGACTCCCAGTCTCTTTGTATAACCACTTACCAGCTTGCTTTTAAGTGATTTTCAAACATTTCTTAGATCATCCTCCCTCATTTGTGATTATGAAGTCATGCCTCCAGGAGATAGATTTCTTTGCTTCCTTTTTTTTTCTTAATCCCCAAGTGATCTTGCTACAAATAATTAAAGACACCCCTTATCCCTGCCCCTGAACTGTGAGAGGTTTTGTTCTCACTTAAGTATAAGGCAACTTACTCTTTTCCAAGAATAATTTTGAGTGAAATCCGTCTCCCCCTTATATTCGAGCATACCTGTCGCCAGTGTATAAACTCAGCAGGGCAGTAGCTGGATGTCCTTTCTGGCTTAATTATACATTTTTGCATATGGATCCTCACCAGTTCACTGTAAGAAAAGAGAGCTCATTATACTCTACACAGGACACTGGGCAGAAGTTCCTGACAAATCAGAGGTTCTCAGCTCTGGGTGCCCCTTCTAAGGATACTGATCGATTGGTCTGGGACATTGAGGTTTTTAAAAACTTATCAGGTAAACCCCGCAACAGAGCCCAGCTCCCTCCTTGATGCCTTCCAGGTGGAAGTCATGTTGCTATGGCAGCCATCCCATGTTCAAGGTCTCCTATTGGTGGGACCTCCCCGTGTGACCTCATCCCTCCACCTCGGCACCCCTCAAACTTCCCTGGGCCCCGGGTGCCAACTCCTGACGTCTAGGATGGAACCCAGAAATCTGCGTCCATAATGCATGATGAATTCTCAAGCCCACAAGCAGCCCCTGCCTGGTTTATCTAGAAGTTAGGCTGGGAAGGGAGACACAACGCTGAGGCCCTGGGGCTGGCCTTGCCCACAGAGGAGAGTGCTTGTTCTGGTTTGAACATACCAGAGCCCACAGGGGGGGCTTCTGGTTCTCCCACCACTTCTGTGATTTGAAAAAACCGGGGCCCCTTGAGAGCACCATTCCCTCAGAGACTCTTTATCCTTGTAAAGTGAAAAAAAAACACACACAAAAAAAACCAAAAACCAAACAACTATGATCCTGCTTGTCAGACTAGAACACTGAGGAATTCACCTGGTGCACACAAGTTCTTTGGGGAGCAGACAGTACCCCCTTGGTCACAGACAGTACCAGCAGTCTCCCACTGAGCCTGTGCCTGGTGACTCCTCACAGGCACCCCTGCCCCGGGACAGCCCCCCTCCAGCACAGGCCGAGGTCAGGCCTGACTGGGAGGAGACAGGGAGGCACATGATCCAGACGGCACCTGGCATCGCCACCCCATGTGGCATTCAAAGGACAGGCCCTGCTCCCCTCTCTTTACCCCCAGGTGCTGGCATGAACTCCAGCTGGGCCGTGGCACCTGAGGCCTTTGCTTTATTAAAGTTTTGCAGAATGCTCTCAGAACCCCATAAATCACGGGTTGTATGGGTGCTAGGGGACCCCAGATGGAGAGAGTGCACCTGTGGACCCAACTTTCTGGCTGGAAGAGACCAGCTTATTGGAAACACAGTTCCTGGGGCTCCTGGGAGAGCGAGCAAGGGCCCAGGAGCTTGGAGAGCAGGATCAGGGCGGAGGAGCTGAGGAACGGGCAGGTTCCCCGGTGGAACACTTTGAAAGGGTGCAGAGAGGGACAGGAGGAAGGCAGAAACTGCATGGGGAAGTCCTACCAAGTACACTCAGTGGGATGTCTGCTGAGCTACACTGGGCTGGTCTTGGCAAACCCAGGTCTACAAGGGCTGGAGGTGCCAGCAACTCGGGCCTTGGTGTCTGAGTTAAAACCATGAGCCACAAATAATATGTGACTCCATGACTCCATGATGCAAGAAAGGTTGCACTTCCTTTTCTCCCAGTTAATTCTGGGCCCCAACTCTCCAGGCTTGCGGGAAATTCAACCCCGCCCGTGACTGAGCTCCCCTCTATAACCAAGGCCAGGGGAAGACTCCAGAGCCTCACGTAGCACAGAGCACTGGGGAGACGCCTGAGGTCATCATGCCCAGCACCTCCTGGGTGCCACCAGGCCACCCTGTCCACTAGCTCAAGAATTTGGAAGCCCAGCTTTCTGCTTGGAACAGGGGTAGAGAGGGTGGGAAGTGACATGCAAGCCTTATAAATTAATATTTCAGCGACTATCTTGTGTCTTAGCTTGGGCTGCTGAGATGAAATACCATAGATGGGGGGCGGGGCTTAAACAACATATATTTATTTCTCCCGGTTCTGGAGGCTGGGAAGTCCAAGGTCAAGGTACTGGCCGATTTGGTTCTTGGTGAGGGCCCACTTCCTAGCTCAAAGTCGGCTGCCTTCTCACTGTGTCCTCATGTGGCGGAAGAAAGGCTCTGGTCTCTCTTCCTCTTTTTATAAGGACACTAATCACATCATGGAGGCTCTGCCCTCATGACCTCATCTAAGCCTAATTACCTCCCAAAGCGTCCCCCCCACCAAAAAAAAATCATCCCACTGGGGGCTAGGGCTTCAACATGTGGATCTGGGGAGACAAAGAACATCCAGTCCATAACATCTTGAAACAGGCATCTGTCAGGCAGCTGGTGTGCAGCCAAGCCCCCTCGTCCTGCATTACCCCAAGCACCTGGGAATGACATGTAGGGGCCAGGCACAGGGGCGGCTGCTTCGTCGAGCCATGGTCATGGCTGCTCTGCCCAGGTTAGGCCCCAGCTCAGACTGTCCCTGTCTCCGGCAGTGCTCCTCGACCTGTGGGAAGGGCCTGCAGTCCCGTGTGGTGCAGTGCATGCACAAGGTCACCGGGCGCCATGGCAACGAGTGCCCCGCCCTCTTGAAGCCAGCAGCCTACAGACAGTGCCACCAGGAGGTCTGCAATGACAAGATCAACGTGAACACCATCACTTCCCCTCGCCTCGGTGAGTGGCCCCAGGCTGCTGGGAAGGGCACTGCCGCCCCCAGCCAGCGAGTCCCCGCTGGTGGTAGAGGTCTAGAAGCCAGAAAGCTCCCCCAACCCCCACCTTGCGGCTTATCCAAGCCCTGGAGAGGCCAACGCTTGTCAGCTCTGTAGAATGTCAGAGGTTTCAGAGATGGGATTTCGTTCTTTGTCATGAAAAAGACGTCTGCGAGCGGCGACCTCAAACACAACAGGAGAACGCCCAGCTAGGCACTCTGCCAAAAGTGAGGAACACGGGCGGGTGGCTCCCCGTTAAGGTTTTGGGGCTCCCATGCATGAGGAGGGCAAGGGGAGGGGCATTCTTCCAGAAATGAAGGAGCTGGGGTGTCATTCACGAAACCTTGGTGATGTTCCTTAAGCTGATGCTTGAGAAGAAAGCAGAGGTGGTGATAGGTTGGAGTCTTGAATTCAGTGGCATGGGGAGGGAGAAGAGGAACGTTTAACATGCATTTAATGGTTCCTTTTAACAGTCTCTGCTTTTCCAAATAGAAATCCCTAAGGAATATTTTCCTCCCCAGGGCCCCCCTTTCCCTAAGGCTGGAATGCAACCAGCACAGAGGGGGCTTCTAAGTTGTTTCACTTGGGGGAGGGGTGGTCTTTGAGTTTGCAGAAGGGCACTCCCAAGCTCTGCATGCACAAACCTCCTTGGGATGCTCCAGAGACCTCCCTCCGGCAGGATCTTCTCTCCGCAGGATGACCCTGAAGGAGGTTTAGGCCACTTGCTTGCGCTGTGAGCTTCTGCTTCGATGGGGCCTTTGAGGCCCACTGCCCCATGTCATCCTGTCTCATAAATGCCAGCAGTGGTGGTATCCTTCGCCAAAAAGTAACAGTGGGTGCCGCTTAGCTGAGAAGCAGGGTGCACAGTGCCCTTGCCCAGAGGAAGCAGCCAGACTGCCATGCTCTTCCAGGTGGTCAGGTTAGACACAGGAGCGCGTCCCCTGTAGAAAAAAGCGACATCACGTGGCCCTGGCAGGGGGCCTATTTCCTCGAGTCCGTGCTAGGCTCCAGCCTGTGAGTGAGGGCAGCCCCAGAGTGGGTCAGGCCGCGAGCCCTCCCTGTGCATGCAGCAGGTTGTCCCCATGCCATCCGTAACCCCTGGGCTCTGTCTCTCCCCACCATGCCCTTAGCCGCTCTGACCTACAAATGCACACGGGACCAGTGGACGGTGTATTGCCGGGTCATCCGAGAAAAGAACCTCTGCCAGGACATGCGGTGGTACCAACGCTGCTGTCAGACGTGCAGGGACTTCTATGCAAACAAGATGCGCCAGCCACCACCACCGTTGCCGAGCTCATGACACGGGGCCCAGCGGTCCCCCAGCGCTCCAGTGCGTGGTCTGCATCCTGATGACATGGCTAGCTGAAAGCCTGCCCACCTGAGAGCACACCAGTCCTGCGGCCGGGACCCCCCCACCCCACCCAGAGCACACCGCCGCTCACCCACAAGGCTGTCCCAGAAATCCAACCGTATAGAACCTGAGCGTGGACTTGATGTTTGCTGTTAGCGCTTTTGTACTTAATATATTGTTAACAGCCACTGGATGGCTTTCTACAGTAAGGAAAAAATAGGCATGAGTCACAAAAATATTGTCATTTCTAAGGTTCCGTGTACCTCAATGGGAACACCTCTGACAGACCGTTGTTGAAAGAAAGAGATGTCATTGAGCACTTCTGTCTTGGCTTTCTTTTGATGTTTGAATTCCCGGTGCTTGATGTGCCATGGGGGGATTATCCCCCAAAGGAGACATTTTACATTAAAACAGGCTTTATTCTGAAAGCCGGCGGCACCCTGGAAGGAAGGACAGATGTCAGCGAGCCTCTGCTAATGGCTTCTCCTGAGAGGACCAGGCTGCCAGAGCCCTTCTTGACCACACAAGAGTCAGCACTTTGCCTCCCCACCCATCTCTGAAAACATGTTCTCTGGATCGTGGGCCTCATCTTGGAAGTTGTGTCCCTGACAGTTTGAATCTCTATCAGCCAAGGATGCCAAGGCCACGTAGTTCTGCATGCCACCTGTGTTGTGGAGAATATTCTGGAAGTGTCTGGGTTTGGGGAGGCATCTAATTTCTATACTCTACTGTCCACCGCATCAGGAAACAGAAAGTCTTTCTTCAAGGTGCTATGAAATGGGATGTATGTTAATTTGGGGGATGGAACTGGTTCCTGGCATAAAGGTGAGCTCAGGACAGCTTCATCCGGAGTGTATGGCCCCTCTACCTTCTGGGGGCCTGAAGTACTCCAGGCAGTACTTCATAAAGTTTTTCTTCCCATTGACCTTGGCCATCTACCTAAAGTTGATTCTTTCTAGAACCTCTGGCTACTTCGCCCTGGCCTGGGACTGATTTCCTCCAGAAGCCACTCAGCCTGGTGTGCCAGGATCCGTGGAGGAGGGCCCCCCGGCCAGGATCACTGCACAACCCCCGCGCCTTCCCATAGCCCAGACCTTGCGGGAGCCATCATTGTCACGCTGTTGTCGTTGACCCATCTTAGTAAGGCAAGGATGACTCTCAGAAAAGCACGAAGAAAGTCTTTCCCACCGGCAGCCCCTCAAAACAGAGCTGCGCCCTCTCCAGAAGCCTGGGCAAATGACAAGAGTACAGAAGACTGTGGAACCCTGCCCGCTTTGGGAGCTGGGAGGGAGAGGCTCTAGATGCCAGGAGGCCTGTTTCGCTCAGCAACTTGGTGGGTGTTTGATGGGTGCTTACGTTCAAGGACTTTACCGTGATAACTGCCCCCCCTTTGCCTCTCTGATTGTGGCCAGGGGGCCTCACGTATGCCAATCTCCCTGGGGTCAGCTCCAAGGACTTCCCGATTTATTGGTGCTGTGTTCATGTATCTGCTTTTGTTTTTGATGATGTCACAACTTTAGG